CATGAAGAGTAATACCCTGTTGTAGGTATTAGATTTACTTAGCCAGCTCTAATTAATCAAATAATCAATAATATCAGAAATAAATATAGCTAAATCATACTGGACTTATGAAGCGAAATGCACTAGTCCAGGCGCTGTTTGTGTGCAGTGGGGAGGTGACTTCTGTCACTGGCCTAGACCTCGATGTCTCGATCACACTAGACTTATGTCACAATCGGATATACATTAATTTCCATCCTTTGGTGGTTATTTTTGATGGGGTCTCGGCCTTGATTTCCACGGAATGATGGTTGATCTTTTATTTATTTATTTATTTAATGTATACTAGAGAGCTTTAACGCCGCTTGAAGCCCTTGTACTTCTCGCTCAATAGTGCCATATTCAAGCGTTTCGATAACTTTCTCGATGGTATCTACCATTGGAATCTCAACAATCTTTGGTATTGCATGCTTTTCTCCACGAAGAATGTCCGTGTTGTGTTTCCAATTCACTGCAATTTCGTTGGAATCGTTGTTGTACATAATTACAATAAATGCAGTAATGACTGCATTTGTTATTGTTCTTCTCTCCATGTTTAGTGAGCTACTGAGCAGTCTGGCTTTCTCTGCTCTGCACGCCATGATTAATCTTTACTCTATATCATTCTTATGAATAATGTTTTCACAGACAAGACTATTCCTCGGTATAATCATGGTGTAGTTTTCATTTGTTTAGGATCTTCTGTCATTTGCTTCAATTAGTTTTTCGCAAAAGCTGATGTTTCTTGAGTTTGCTTCTCTGAATTTTTTTATTTGGATCATGCTTTTTCTGAGATGAGCATTCCTCCTGGTGGCTTCATAAGTTTGTCTCTCATTGCTTCTAGATGAATAAATTTGGTCTGGACTCAGATCATAGTACTCTGTTATGGGAATTTTATCTTTCTCCATCAAGTCCGAAACCATCTCAGAAATCACAGAATCCTCTTAAAAAGATCAAGTCTTGGCCAGCCTACACCAAAATATTTTCAAAATGCCTAAAATCATCATCAGAACTATTCTCAACATTGTCATGCGTGGAGCAAGGAGAATTTATAACACATGAACTACAGGCAGCAGGTATGTCAGCCTCTGCAGGAGAGCAAGGAGATCATTGCAAGAAACGCAGACAGTCACTGAAAATGAAGAAACTACTCAAACAAAGCAAAACAATTAAGAAATCCTTGAAAAGACGACAAGTTATGCCACCAGACACAATTAAAAAACTACGTGCAGACAAGATCGCGGTGGCCGAACTAATCAGGGTACAATCTTATACTGATAGTCTTAATGCAAAACGCCGAATTGAACAGATATTGATGAATAAGGGCAGAAAAGCTAGTCAACTTTTCTGGAATCTCGTAAATCGCAAACCTAAAAAACATGCTTTCATAGAGGCACTCGAATCTCCTGAAGGATTAACAACCGATCACAACGGAATGAATGCTATTATAGAGGAGTTCTTTGAGAAGAAATTCAATACATCCTTTACTACAGAAGAAGTTAGTTGGGAAGCGGTGTATCTTGATTCAATTGGTAAACCTGGAAAATTATTCACGGATGACACCTCAGAGCAGATTATGCGACCAACAACTTTGGATGAACTTAACAAGAATATAGGGGAATTAAAATCAGGGGTATTTTAATGGAATTTTTTTAAAATTTCTTGAATTGTATGGACTCAAAATTTAAAACAATTTATTCGCTCTAGATGTTTGGGTGTGTTGCTCTGACGGTGGCAGACCTGCAGGATGCATACATATTATTTAAAAAGCTCATTTGTGAATTTTTGCTTCTATAATTTTTATAATTTATTTGTTAATTTATTTTTATGCCAACATTGTTTAAAGTGTTTTAAACATTAAATAATCCTATTCCCTTACTAATACTGCCTCAACCTAGGATGATCATTTTAGGTACTTTTGAAATAGAGTGTTAGTGACTATGCTAAAGTTTCTCTGCCAGAGTCTTTTGATCCTAAACTTACTAGTTTCTTAATTCAAAATAGAGCTAGGATGTATATGTATAGTATTCACCCGTCTACAAGCCGATGATGAATTTTAATTCTAAGGCTGACTACGAATGTAGGTTTATAATCAATTAAAATCAGATAAAGTGGAAGGGCTGGATGGCGTTACGAACGACATGCTCAAAAACACAGACCAAGAATCAAGGCTAAAGATTATTGAGATGTTCAACAACATTATAGTAGGAGGACAGGTACCAGCCAGCTGGAAAGACGGAGACGTGGTACTGATCTTAAAAAAACCACCACAAACCGACATCAATAATTATTGTCCAATCACATTGATTAGTAATCTTTCTAAATTGCTAACTAAAATTTTAGCTAAGCGCCTGGCAGAAGCAGTCCTAAAAGACTACGTAATCGGCCCAGAGCAGGACGGATTTAGATCTGCAAGAACCTGTAGTGATAACATCTTCATCCTCAACTCAATTCTGGAAATCAATAAGAGTAAAAAGAAATTATCTCATCTCCTCTGTGTGGATCTAAAAGAAGCATACGATCGAGTGGACAGAAATATTCTTCTTGTGAAGCTCAAGCAACTGAATGTAGGGGATAAATTCATCAACTTCTTAACAAGCTATTATTTCCTTGACAATATCTCAACACAGTCATCAGGACAGAGAACTCGGAAACAGTATCAAAAACGGGGCCTCCGCCAGGGCTGTAATCTGAGCAGTATATTGTTCAGAATTTATTTATCAGAACTTAGCAACAGGATGAGAGCGCAGGATTTAGGAATAAAGCTGGAGTCAGGGGAAGTAGTCTGCATCCTCCTATTCGCTGACGACATCATCCTAGTAGCTGATTCAGTTGAATCATTGGAGAAGCTGAGGAAAATCTTAGAACAGTGGTGCTTGGATTTCAAGATGAAAATATCAATATCCAAAACCAACGTCATCACCTCCCTTGAAGATTATGAATGCGCAATTACAGACTCAGGAACTATGGAGGAGGAAATAATTAATCATGTGAGTAGCTACAAGTATTTAGGTGTCACCCAATTTTTAACTCCTTGAAGAACCTCACAGCGTAAGGGGAGAGAAATGCTAGAAAGAGCCAGAACCTATAAAAATGTAATTCTTCGGACCAGGTCTCAACACTTAGACAACACTGCGGCTATGGCAGCACTCTGGCAAAATGTTGCCATTCCAGGAATAATGTACGCAGTAGACGAGGTCCCAATTCCAGAAGCATCAATCACAGAGTTATTCAAAACCAGATAGGTAAATCCTTACTTGGTATTCCCCGATCATCAGCAAACACAGTGATCCAAGTAGAACTAGGTTGGAAGCCAGTCCGACTATTGATAGAACTAAACAAACTACGCTTCTTTCATAGAGTAAACAATCCGGACTTAGCGGGAAGTTCTCTGGTTAAATCTTGCTTTGAATGGAATATAAGGAATCCCCATACATTATACTACACCAATCTCATGTCAGTTCTGTGTAAATACGCTGCAACCCCACTTATCCTGAAGGGGGTCACCCCTAAACAATTACATCAGTACCATGAACAGAAAGTGATCGGAGATATCCAGGAACTAGTCACGCTGAAACTGATGCCTCTGCCAAGGAAATGGTGGAAAATACAACCTCATGTAGAGGAATCCAGGTGGTCGAGAACTTTGATTAAATTCAGATGCATGAATTCAGGGTTAGGAAACAGGGACTCGTACATAACAGCAGACTCAATATTTCAGGATGGTGGAAGGGTACTGCAATGCCCTCTGTCCTTTCTAGGAGACAACAACGAATTTCACCTATTGGTGTCTTGCAAACAGATGGAAAAACACAGACAAAGTATAAGCCTGAGGACAGGGCAGACACTCCAATCCTTCATCACAGAACAGCAAGCATCAGGGCATGACGATCTTCAGGCAGTCAGAATACTGCTGGGTCAAGGAGCACAAATCAAGAAAATGGACCTGTTCGATAGAGGGCTAGCCTTAGACATCCTGTTAGATAAATTCTTCCTGGAATGGTCCAATGTGTCAGGAAGACTGATCAGTAGAACCTCCCAGACACAACAATAGGTATTTTTAATAAGATACATTTGTTTCCCGGGAAACTACCAATACATTAAGATTATTAGATTTTATGCTTGACATTCTAGATTGCATTTAATATTCACATTAAATCCCAGGGACATCCCTGACTCACATATCTCCAAGATATACACTTTTAATATTCTAGTTTCAATTAATTAATCACATTCTTGATCCATTATGCACTTTTAACATTCTAATTACAAATAATTACTCACATTCTTGATCTGCTTTACAACTATTAACAATCCAATCGTATTATACTTCAGTTGCAATTTATTATTTAACATCTCATAAGATTATGAACTTCATTTAATTATCTCCGTCATGACCATTATTCTGAATCATATTTAACTCTATTTTTTAGATGTATTACTTATTGACATTATACTTCATTTCCAGATATGTGTTCTTAGGAATGCATATCTGTACCAAAACAAACCATTGGGGAGCTCCCCTTCACTCATACATATTTAACACATAGATGATCATACATGAGTGAAAGGGAGCTAAAAATGGTTGCATGGCTCAAATTTGGTTGTGTTGCTGGGATCATTTCGCTAAATTTAAACACTTGATTCATTAACGGTTATACATTAAATAAATCCGGGTTGAAACCCCACCTCTCAGTCAGGACTTGAAACTCCAAGCTGTAGAGTGGAGCCTAAAGCTTTCCCTAACACTCATGATTTGATTTGATTTGTTTGACTTCTTGGATGATTTCTGACAGTTGTTCATTCTCCAAGTGGGTTAAGAGTGGGATTCCCTTCATGTAGATGATGTTTTCTTGTGTTAAATTTATTACTCCTGGATTTGACTTTGTTTCTTGGACAATGAATTGAAGGTTTTCCCATATCTTTTGCCGGTAAAGCAAAAAGAGATTCAATTGGTTTTGTCGGTTGGAAGGAAGAAAAGAATAGGAGGATGATCTAGATGTGATGTAAATATGTTTGAAGGTGGGGGTGGTAGCTGTTGTATCCTTCTTGTCTATAACCATTCATCTAACAGTTTCTCTCTCCTCTCTGTTATCTGGTTGTTTAATGAGCACTATGATTCCGATGATTTATTAATGTTATTAATCCACGATCACATAGGTAAAACAAACTCGCTTAGAGTAAGCCAATTGCGAGAGGCTTAGTGGGATTTCTTAGCAACACTACATGGTATGTGTTCTTTTTACTGGTCGGGCTTGTACTACTTAAAATCCTGGTTCGATTTCAGGGTAAAAATATCAAATAACAATTTACAAGATAAACAAACATAGATTTAAATTGAATGATAAGTTGATAAATTGATACATCATTACATTAATAATTCTTGTTTTGGGATATAACCACCCCTAAACCAAGCCAACCATTTAAAACCACACAGGTAGAGAAAAGATAGAAATCCAAGTGTCAGATACAACTGGTGTATATAAAGGTATTCTAAGAAGGCATTCATAAAACAATAATACATCATTAAATCATAATATTTTGTTTGCTAGTTGTCATTTGTCATGTAAAAAAAGTCGGTAATAATATAAAACATTTCTTTCTGATTTTATAAGTAAAATCCCAAACTGTAAGAATCCCAAATGAATGTTAACCAATGTTGGGATTGGAAGGATTGGGATTAGGATGAGGACTAGGAAGTTGGAATAGGTTGGACAGGGATCAATTGGGAATAGATAAAATAGGTTGGGAATTGGGATGGATACCAACTAAAGAGGAAGTTAAGATTGGGATTCAATGAATGTGAGGATGATAAAAGGGTTGGTAAATCTGGAGTTGGAGTAATTGGGAAGATTGAGTAATGAATAGATGTTCTACGGGGACAACAGTATTGGAAAGAGAATCAGCAAGATATGGAAGTTCAGAACAGAGATACAGATATAGTAAAATATGTGTGTAAAGACTATGGAGAATATGTAGTTTAGTGGGTACAAATTTTAATAAGGGGTGAAGACGACATTTTGGAAGGAATTAGCGGATTACTGTTAAGTTGGGATAAGAGAGAGAAAAGAGTATAAAAATCATCATTAGAATTATTCAATACTCTGAAACAATTTTGTATTCATATTCATCACAATCTAGAAATAGATGTTCGACTGTTTCAACTTGATCACATTTTTCACATTTGTTGTTGTCTTCCTTTCCAGACTTGAATGCTTTTGATTTTGTCCATGTAGTCCTGTTCAGAATAGAAAGGTTAAGAGCTTTTTGATATTCTGAGAAGTTGGATTTGTAGTTCTTCTTGTATGCTTGATTGTAAACTTATTTCTCTGGAATATTAATTCCATCTCTGATTCTTGTTTGTCTAGACGGAGCAGTGTCCCATTTGTGTTCTTGTTTCCTTTTTTCTTTGTCTTTCATGTACTTTGATAATGTGATCTTTTTTTCAATAAGTACTGCTTCTAGTTGATTCTTGGTAAAGGGGGCATTCCTGAATTTTCTTCTCTTGTTCTTGATATTCTTGATAATATTAGTGATCTTCATTTGTATGTTTTGATTCGGTATGTTGATTGTGACTGTTTTCTCGAATGATCTCGGCTCATCCGTTAAGAATAGTTGGCTGACGGTCGTGAATCCTGCTCTTTTGAGTTTGAGTCTTTCGATCCTTGTGAGAGCAAATGGGTGATCATAGACAGATCCTCCGATGGCTGATACTTCCCATGTGTCCTGATTTTCTTCCCATTCTCAGCTAGCTGTGCTATTGTGTCTGTGTATATTCTTGCCAAGTCGGTTTTCCTTTTGCTCAGATCTCTGAGTTTTCTTGATTCCATTGTTAGCAGATCATCTACTTGCATGGCATTGGTTTCCAGGAGTCTATTGACGTTTTTTATTATCATTCTTGGTGCTTCTTCATCGTAAAATTTCCTAATGTGTCTAATTCCTGAATCAAAGTACAGACATCCGGCTTTTATTTTGGTTCTTCTCATGTTTAATCCTCCCACTCTGATTGGAGCATGTGTCCTTTCTTTGGCAATTTGACGTCTACCTTCCACGTATGCGTCTTCATTATTTTTTTTCTTCAACAAGGCTTTGTAGATGATTTCTTGTATCTCTTCAAGGTGACTTTTGGACAGTTTCAGACTCATTATAATATGATTAGTTTGGCTGTGTAGAATTGCTTCAATTAGCAGAGCTCTTGTTTATACGGAGCACTGGTTTCTTTTTACTATTCTGTTGGTTGCTTTCTCCATTCTGCCTATCAAGTAATCAAAGTTGACTTTTTCCATGTCTTCTTTTACTCTTGTTTTAATTGTTCCTTTTCCAAAGTTATTGATATCATTGATTAGCACTGGATCTGTGTTGAAGGCTAATATTTCTGTTTTTGCTTGATTGATTGCATATCCAGTGATTGCACTGAGGGAGTCGAAGAAATTCAGCAGTTCTTTGTAGTCTTCCAGTGATTGTAGTTGAACTGGAATACTTGTATCGTCTGCAAAGCTGACCGGGTCAACAAGATCATCTCCGTCTCTTTTACGCCCAGTCAAATTCCTTTTCTTTGTAGAGTAAAGTGTTTCCTTCATGGGTTGCATCATTCTTGTCTGAGCTGGCAGGATCTGGTGCACTTAGGTGTTTCATCATCTCTGAAGTAGCTTCTGTTCTTGTGAGGTCAAAAGCAGCTCTTGCATCCAAGAAAACAATTTGGATAGTTTCTCCAGTCCTTCTAGCTATATTGATTACTGTTTGCAGGTATGTCGAGGCTTCAGAAACTGTGCGAGTTGGAATGAATCCAAACTGTGAATTTGAGATATTTTTGTGAACACATTTTCCTAGTTTATTAACCAAGATCTTTGCAATGATTTTATAATAAACTTCAAGGAGACTGATGGGGCGGTAGCTCTCTATTTTGTTTCTTGGTCTTCCAGGTTTTGGGATAGAGACAATTTTGCGTTTCTTGATCCATTAAAAAGCTTTGTTCTCAGTGTGGTGATTTAAGTATTAGTTTATTTAGAAGAGGTTGGGGATCATGGAGATCAGCCATAGGAAAAAGCTCTTTGTAGTTCCTGATGGTCCTGGAGTAGATTCATTTTGCATATTTTTTAAAACTCTTGTAATCTTGTCAATTGAGAATTCTCTGTTTGCTTCTTCACTTTCCTCTTCGGAAGGAATATAGTCTGGGTGTTGGATATTGAGATCTAACATTCTGTGACTGATTGGTTGGGATTCTTCTCTGTTTGGATCAGCTATTGACACAGCTAGGTGAGCTCTGAATTTTTCCCTGATCTGTTCTTCCTGTGTGATAACTTGATTATCTTCTTCAATACTAATGATTTTTGTTTCAAACTTTTCTTCTTTTGTATGTCTAAACGTTGTAGCAGTCATTTTGTCATTTTCATTTTGATAGAAGTGATCAATCCTTTCTCTAAATCTAATTTCTGTTCTTCTCAAGTGGTTTCTTCGATTGTTCTTTTCTTCTTTTAGATCATCTTTTGCTTCTTGTTCGGCTACCTCATTGGTTGCTCTGTTCATTCTCTTGATTATTTCCATGATCTTGTGATTGTGATCTATCATCTCTTTTCTTGTCTTGTTCTTCTCTTTTTTGGTGACTTTATTGTACACATTCTTGACCTTGTGGATAATCAGGTTCATTATTTTCGCTGGACTATTTTTGCAGGTTAAATTCTAACTTCTTTTCTGCTTCAGTTGGATTGGAGCATTTCTCTAATAGATCCTTAAAGTTGGTCTTTTGATTTGTCAGCCATTCTTCAGAGTGAAGTATTAATGTTTGGGCTATTTCATCTTGTGCTTGTAGAAGAAATTCATCTTTAAGTAAGATGAAATCCTTTACTATGGTATGATTCTTGACACTTGTCTGTTTTTTTAATCTTGAAGGTTATCCAGTCGTGATCAGAAGGTGATTGGTCTTGTGAGACCAGCCATTGTGCATGTTGACTCTGGTTTTTGTCTGCTAACAGGATGTCAATTCTTGAGCACTGAGTAGCTCTGTTGCCATCTTCTCTCCATGTGTACTTGTCTTTGCTATATTTCTTTCCAATA